GGAGGGAGGGAGGTGGCCGAGCAGCAGGGAGAACAGAAGGGGAGGGGGAGGAAGGCAAAAGGGAAAGCAGCCGAGGATTAAGGTGGAAGGGGACGGGGAAGAGGTGCCTGAGGGGTGGGGTGCGAGCAAGGGGACGTGAGCAACAAAGGGGGGGCAAGTGACTGAGGGGAGTCAGCCAGTGAGCAAAGGGGCGAACGGAGCAGCAAAGAGGTAACCAGGCACACGCTCCGCATTTTTGGCAAGCCTGGAACTTTTGGTGTTTGTTTTTTTTTAATTCCTGTTATGTCATTGCGGCAGGAATGTTTTTTTTAAAAAAGTGGATGGGGCATTTACATACATGGAAGCTATTTCAATGAATCAATTCCATAGGTAAAGAGTGGAAATCCCCTGTTATCATCACACCACTGTATAGTATTTGATTTCAAAAAGGTTATATCCAGCTGGAAAACCATGCTGTGTTTATTCATTAGTTTTGAAGTTCTTCGAGTATTGCTGTTTCTCAGTTGCTCTTTTGTGTTTTAAGAAAACTCAACATTGCTTCACTTTTGAGTGTTTGTTGTTGTTGTTTAGTCATTTAGATATGTCCGACTCTTCGTGACCCCGTGGACCAGAGCACACCAGGCCCTCCTGTCTTCTACTGCTTCCCGGAGTTGGGTCAAATTCATGTTGGTCGCTTCGATTACACTGTCCTACCATCTCGTCCTCTGTCATCCCCTTCTCTTCTCCTCACACTTTCCCAACATCAGGGTCTTTTTCAGGGAGTCTTCTCTTCTCATGAGATGGCCAAACTACTGGAGCCTCAGCTTCAGGATCTGTCCTTCCGGTGAGCACTCAGGCTTAGATTTCCTTTAGAATGGATAGGTTTGTTCTCCTTGCAGTCCAGGGGACTCTCAAGAGCCTCCTCCAGCACAATTCAAATGCATCCATTCTTTGGCGGTCAGCTTTCTTTATGGTCCAGCTCTCACATACATCACTACACCAAGCTCCAAGTTATGTCTTCAGATGTGACATTTAGATACAACATTCCTCTTCCTTCTTTACTGTTTAGTCTATTATCTTTGAATAAATTATTCAAGGATTTCCATAAATTCTCTACTGTTCTTCAGTGGTTGCATTCTGGTATGGAAGTTCATTCCACCTGGGTTTTGTAGTGCCCATTAAATCGTATCTGCCTCACAGTATTAAATGTTAAATTTTGTTTCGTCTTCTCCTACATTCTGTGCATTTCTGCAGAGAAACCATGAGTCGCTCCCTCTACCTGTATTATTTTTAACTGCCCACTGAAAGTTTCAAGTACCAACCTACCAGTTTGAGGTGCATCACTGGCACTCTTGTTCTCAGTCCTTGGTATCTGCTTGTCCTTTGGAACGATTTCTTCCCCCGAAGAAATCCCCGAATTTCTTCTCCCCCCGAAGAAATGTTCTACACTGTCCATTTGGTTCAGATTTGAAAGATTCCTTGCAAACACAATCTCTATGATGTTGCAACTCTTCTGTTGCCAATAATTCTTGCTCTGAGAAGTCTCACCTAGAGTCAAGAAATAAATTTCCCCTGCCTATTACACCACCATTTGCATGCCAGTTGTTCACTTCCAGTATTCTTGTCGCTTTCTTTTGGCCATGCACTTCAACAGAATGTAATGGAACCGTTTTGGTGGCATCCAAATCTACTTTTGCCTAGCTTATGTCATTCGTCACGGAACATGGTGGCACTGCAGGTTAAACCACAGAAGCCTCTGTGTGCTGCAAGGTCAGAAGACCAGCAAGTCGTAAGATCGAAACCACGCGATGGAGTGAGCTCCCATCACTTGTCCCAGCTACTGCCAACCTAGCAGTTTGAAAGCATGTAAAAATGCAAGTAAATGCATACCACCATAGTGGAAAGGTTACAGTGTTCCATGTCTAGTCGCGCTGGCCACGTAACCACAGAAACTGTCTACGGACAAACGCTGGCTCTACGGCTTGGAGATAGGAATGAGCACTGCGCCCTAGAGTCGGACACAACATTTGCCATATATTGAATGTTATACTTTTGTTTCAGATGGAAAGGGCCCCAGAAACAAGAGGCTATCATTGCTGGACATCTTCCATACCAAGATGTTTTGGTACTTGAGGAAGCACAAGCACAGTAAATGTCACCCACCACCCTAGGGAAGTGCATAATACCCTCACCTATCCAGGTTATACTGGTAGCTGGGCCAGAAAAATATTACAAGAACTTCTCTCCATGTTTAGTACGATAACCTCAGTTTTATCACTTTTGCTTCTGTTATTCTATGGTATCCACAAAACTCTTCTCCAGCATATTTTTTCAGTTAATGTTCTACACTGTCCAGCTCTTGCACCTGTACATAGTAATCTATGGGACTACCATGTTTCTCACAATCCAGTTACAGTATATGTATTGTACAGCATCAGATTTCCACTTACCTCGTGCACATCAGCCTCTGCATGTCGTTTCAGCTTTAATCCACTTGCTTCATTAGCAACAGTGCCATTTGTACTTGCCCTTTGCTTTTCCCCGGTAGCTGATTGCATGCCATCCAATCTAGGAGTCTCATCTTCCAGCAATATCGCTTGTATCAATTTCGGTTATTTCATCATAGGGTTTTCAAGAAATACTCAGAACTGCCATACTAACAAGAGTTAGCCTGTCTGTCACCATTGTCTTTGAAAGATCACTGTCACCTTCCATTCCTACTGCTACTCTCCATGAGTTTTTCTACCTCCATAATCATTGGGATGATCCATTTTCTTCTGCTGATATGACTGTTATTCCTATGGACAGTGGGTTGCATCTTAGTCTTGTGTTCAAGCTTTGACCATTGAACCTCAAGTGACTCTGTTAGGCGCTCAGACTAATAGTGAAGTCTAGCCTCCGCTATTGATTTTTGCTTCTCTGACATATTCAAACAACCTCTCCATGTTAAGGTGTTTTGTCTAGGAGAGAGTGCTGTAGACAAGAACTCTGACTTTTGATATTAATTCTTGGTCAATCAATGGGGAAACTGTTTCATTGCTGCTATTGCTAATCATCACATCAAAACCAGGGATACTCAAGACAAGAACTATTTGGAAAACTAATCAATTCCTATAAAGGGATCCCTTTCCCATCATGACCCAAACATTCATCTGAGTTGATTACAAGAAAAAACAAAGAGGTTTGCGGTGCTCTAAGAACAAACAAATTTATTGTGGTATACAAAACTAAGCACAGTGACCATTCGCAACACTACTGATGTATGATGACACGGGAATTCTAGATATCTTACTGAACACCAGTAGTGGTACAAAAGCCATAGTCTATGTATATATAGGCCCAAATGGACGGAGTCAAATTACCTAATAAATTCTAATTCGGTGAATTCACTTCCCTTTAAAGTTCCCTGAATCACAAGTGACAACTTTCAAGTCAGAGCAGCAGAGCATCCTGGGAGACAAAAATACACTCATGTAGATATTTTTGTCAGAGACAAAAAAAAAATCTTACAAGGACTTCTCTCCATCTTTAGCAACGTCTGCTATGGCCCTTTCTCTCTGACGGTTGCCTTCGAGCGATCATATAGGGAAAGGAAATAAGACAGATTCTCACACAGAGAGAAAAGATCTAAGAGAAAGGAGGTGGGGAAAGCCCTGAAGTCTGAAGACTCAGAAAACAGAAGCTAACATGGAAATTTTAGATTTTAAGATATTAAAAAAACCCAGAGGAACAGCACATGTCCACTTCCTGATATTATTCTTCAATGACATACCCCTATGGAGGCTTGGCTACACTCAATCTGAAAATGGAGCATATGTCGTTTCAAAATAACAGAAAAAAGAAAGTTTCAGATTTTGAAAAGAATTCTGCTCCAGCGTGCAAGGCAGGAAGAGAAGGGGTCAGCTTGCTTGCCAGCCTTATGGTGAGATTCTAAGGTGGCCTTTTCCATAGATGTGAAAGAATGGGAACAGGGTCTCTCCTGCAAACAAGGCTCTGGAGAATGTGTAGAGATGGGCTGCGGTATGAGCATCATAAAAAGCTACTTGCCCCCCAGCATAGTTCAGATATACTCGGATCAGCTTAAGCTCCCCAACTGGAGACAATCTAGGAAAATGGGACTCATTTGTAGCATTGTACCCACCTCCCCACTTCCCTATAGCCCAGAGGCCTCCTCTAGGACTATAGACAAGATCACCCTTTCTCTTCATAGATTTTTTGGCCACTCCTATGATCCATTGCTCCTCACTTCCAACAACGACTTCCCAGAAATGTCTGCCTCCCGTGAACCCCTTGCTGCCCAGCACAGAAGGACTTCTGCTGAATCTCTCAGGATTGACAGGCAAGTCTTGACATTTGCCTCCATATTTTACGCTCTTACAATCCTCAGTCAAGATGAGTTGCTGATGGGCTGTGTTTAGATCAAGAAAGATATTTGCTGTCAGGGAAGAAAAGGAAAGGGAAGGTAAAGAACATCAACTTGCTGAATGGCTAATAGGTTGACTCTAAGCGCACCAGAGGCATCGTATTCCCTATAAAACAGTATTTCCCAATGCACTGCAGATCAGAACCAGGTTTTGTATATATAGCCCTATCTCTCTCTGCCTCTCTCTCTATATATATATATCTAGGGCTGTTTATATATATATACAGGCTTGGAAAGCCAGAGTTTGCAAACTGTGTGGACGTTTGCCCATCGTATGTTGAACTTTACTGCTATTACTCAACCTCTGTATTTCCACTGTATGTATGAGCCCAAACATCACTATAGGCCTGTTGAATAGGGACAGGATTGCCTGGCAGCTGCTGCAAGGCTACATGGGTAAAGTAGTTCCAATAGGTAGCAACTGCCTACATTTCCCAGGTAGCCTTGCTAAACTGTGACAGAGCAGCTGAGCTCCCTCCCTCTTCTTCAAACCTGAAACACATGAAACAGAGTGGAAAGGTAGTGTGGAAACCTCTCTTCTGCTCCTAGTTTGCTCTCCCACTCTTTGGGAAATTCCGGGTGAATTCTAGGGGTGGAGTCCTTGAGCCCACTTCTCATAATTAAGCTGTGGCCAATTTCAACATTTGAAGGACAGAACTGTTTTAATCCAACCGAAATACCACAAGCATTTTTTTAATCAGCCCACGTTCTACCTGTGACTTTTGCCAGTAACTGACCTTTCTGAAGTTCTTGCCTAAAAGATACAGCATCTGAAGAAGCAAAAAGATATTACGGTGAAGCATCACATGGTCATGTTCAGTGCACTTTTAATTCACACTATGGCATGTAATTCAAGCAAAGCCTTCAGCAGACTCTGAAACAAACCAGGAGGGGGGAATGCTCATTGCAGCTACTGTTTGGCTGAATTCATGTTGCTGTATACTTAAAGAACACCTATAACTTCCAGTCTATTCTTGGCTGGTAAATAAAGTTTCCCTGTCATGATTCTTAGGTACACATGCACACTGGATGGGCACATATGTGTGCACCCCCAAGAATCACACGAAGATCTTTTATTTACGAGACAAGAACGAAATGAAAGTTATGAATTTTCTTATGCCAGGCAACAGGACTTCAGCGATTGCTTCCAAATAACTGTACACTGTAATGCTTCCACCATCACCAATCAAGTCCTCCTGTGTTCTCCTAGCCAGCTATAATTCTACGCATGGCAGGTGTGAGGGAGATGCTTTCATGCTCCCTGGGAGGCTGCCCGACAATCTTCATTTCTCCAGGAGGAGTGCACGCCAACCATGACCACAGAGCTGGCAGGGAAAAGGAGCACCTCGATGGCAGCAGGGAGGAGAAACACCTGGAGGAAGATGTCATCCCAGGTGCAATGCAAAAAGTGGAGGTGGTTGATAAAGAGGAGAAACGGAGGAAATTCGTGGGCAGAGGCTTAAGGAGGAGTTACTGCTGGTACTGCGTGCCTTGGTGGAGGCATGGCCAAACATCCGGCAGGGCTCATGGCCTGGGTGAGCATGGCCTGGCTCATGGACAGAGAGGAATGCTCTTCTTTGCTTCAGTGGAACTGTAGGACCGCTGGACTCAAAATTGGAGATTTGCTTGCTTGCCTGCCTGCACCCACTCTCACTGCTGAAGATGCTGCTACTCGAGGCTGCGCGTTATGCAGCTTGCTCAGAGGCTGGAGGCAGCTTCCGTCTGCCCTTGTAACTAGGGCTAGTGAAAGGAACTCGGCCCTAGCAAGAAGGGTGAGAGTGCAGAAAAATATTTCCCAAGGCACAGAGTGCCATGGATAGTGGGACAGATCAGAGTCCTCAGTCTATTGATTTTGGATAATTGTCAAAATCAATAAAAGTTGTTCAAGAGCCTCCCTGCTTTGGTGTGTCCATGGAACAGAAGTGGAGCACAACAGATTATTTTACTCAGGGAATCTCAAGAGGCGCCATTGTAGCACAGGGCAAAGAACCCCAAGACCGCCACCATAAGGCCCTCAGGACCTTTTCCTATAAGCTGAGGGTAGCAAGCAAACATGGAGGTCTGAGGTAACCTACTCTCCAGTGCTGGAATAGCTTTGTTTCTGTTAAATCTGGGCTTCAAACTACACAGTTAAAGGGTAGAAAATGGGTTGAGGTGGCTGGACTCAGCCTTATAGGTCCCTTCCAAGTCAGGTATTCAGTGATTCTCATGAACAGTAAGTATATTGTGTGATATTCCCTCTTATAACAAAAAAGCTGAAATCCAGTTTGTCTTCTCGCAATTGTCTTTTTAGCCAACATGAAACCCCTGTTTTTAACAGGGTGATCTTTTGTAAGTGCAAACTAGAGGTCACTGCAATTTTCACAGAGTGCTCTACCTGCAAAGCAACCACACTCCACAGGATTCTTACTAGTGGCTTGGTCTTGAGTTGATTTAGATGATCAAGACCCATAAGCGTTCCAAAAATTTGCTCCTAAGGCAGGTGAAAACGGCTCAAACTGATTTATTAAAATGGATCAGTCTCACTGCTTGTATTTTTTTATTCTACCAGGGGCCATGGCTATGAGGGTTCACATGATGAGTGCCTACCTTTCAAAAAGTGCCACAACGACACAGCCAAGTTTATGCCCTCGATACCTATGGGCAAGGGGAATCCAAAAGCATACCATCCTGTCTGTCCACCATCTACAGGTGGGATGCTTAGGTATCCTGGACTACCAAGCCCATAATTCTCCATTCTGAAAGTCATACCTGACAAGAGTGACACCTCACAGACATCTAAATGTGGCTCACCTGGAAGAATGGCCTCAACTGTAAAGCTCTGAGGTTTAGCAAGGCCTACATCCTCCCACCTTCCTGTTCAGAAATACAGCTTTCTGGGGCAGAGGCAGCATCACAAGGCTTGGGTGGAGCAAGGCCCAGTTAAGCCTTCCAAATTCAGGAGTCTGCCTTCAAGAAGAACTCTCAGAATAGAGAATTATTGTTGTAACCAAAGAAATAATAATAAAAATCCCTACTTTTAGAGAGAACAAGAAAATATTGAGCAGGGAGGAAAAGCCCCTTTCAGAAGCTGTCACCAAGGTGCAGAAATGGATAATTTTGACAGGTAGTCTTGCCACAAAAAAGCAGGAAATACTCAGGAGCTTGTGAGGGTTGCAACCAGGTATGTGGCAAATGCAGGTAAGAAAGCCTTTGCTCCAATGATGTGACAGGGAGGAACAGGAGGGCAAACTACTTGTCTGTTAACACGGTCTCCACTTCTGAGGCAAAGGGAGGGAGAAGGCGAGAGAGCCAAAAAAATACCCCCCAAAACAAAAAAATCCCGCCAAGGTAAAGCCTACACTTAATTTCTTAATTCTCCTGCTATGATCCCTGGAATAAATGCTAAGTTCTCACAATGGAAGGAAATACAGTGGGGTCTTGACTTGAGAACTTAATATGTATTGGAACTACCTGCCTGTTAACCCAGTCTTCACTTCTGAGGCAAAGGGAGGGAGAAGGCAAGAGAGCCAAAAAAAAATACACCCCCCAACCCCCCTCACCAAGGTAAAGCCTACACTTAATTTCTTAATTCTCCTGCTACGATCCCTGGAATAAATGCTAAGTTCTCACAATGGAAGGAAATAAGAAACAGCTTTCTCTAGCAATCTGTATGAACTGCTGGACAGCTCAGTGGTTTAGTGATTTGGCTGCAGAGACAGAGGTTGGGAGTTTGATTTCCCACTTCTACCGGGCTGACTCAATAAGCCACACGGTCCCTTCCAGCTCTATGATGATTGAAAGTTAATTTATTCATGAATGATACATAGGCAAGTAGGAACAATGAGGTAACTTCCCATATCTATGCAGGATCCAACATGTTTCATGGCCAAGCAGATTGTGAAAACTTCAAAATATACCTCTCACTATGCAGGTGGGCAAAAAAATCAAAAGAAGCCTACAATAGTCTAGCTCACTAGATGAATGGCTGTTCCAGTAATCAATAATGGCAACCCATCTTTCCTGAAGTCTGAACTACACTCATCTATCCATAATGATCTGAACAGGTCATTGTGTTCATAGCAGCTCAGTTTTCTTTCTCCTTGGGTCGTTGATGGTGCATGAAGTGGCTGCCAATTTGTGCCACCAGAATTTGTGCTACTTGTGGCAGCAGCAAAAAAAAAGATATCTGGAGCCTACACAACATCAAGCATAAATCCCTGCAACTGTTGGTCATTACCTTTGAATAGCTCCATGGGGCCAACTAGACACAAAATGCTATCACAGATGTCCCAGATCTTCCACTTCAGTTCTACTGGGAAACCCACTGGAACCTCAAACTTCTTTCTCTCTTCATTCCTGGTTGAAAAAACCAAGGTTAATGTTTATATATGACAGAAAAATATGGAATTGTCAGTCTGAATGATAGGATAATGACTTAAGCAGAGGGAGAAAGTCCAAGTCATTCTAGTTGCCTTCTAACCAGAACAGGTGACATGCTTGCACATGTGCAATGCTCAATTTGCTGAGTAAGTGTTGCATCATACACAGGTATATAGATAGGCAGTTAACAAACCTGTGTAGTTGGGTTATTCATGGAGAAGCAAAGCGTCACTTTGTCAGCCAGCATCTTGGAATATTGGCCTGGACTGTGATTACCATTTTCTGTACTGCCGATTCTGAAGAGGTGCTTGTATGTATGTATGTTTTGTAAATACAGTTTTCTGGTGGTGAAGGGAACACAATTGAGTCTTGTGTTTTTCATTTTTGGCTCTGCACAGCTGTTTGGTAGTTCTTAAACTCAAACAGCACTATCAACAGTACTGCACATTCTGAAAGTTAACCAACCACTCATCCTGCCAAGAATACCTGAGCGAAGCAAAACTAAGGGACTAAGATGAAGAAGAAACTACAGAGCACCAAGAAAAGGGTGGGCAGAAGGTCTGCCTTCAGTTCACAACCAACAAAGCAAATTCTGTCTTGGATGCACACTTCAATGCAGTGAGGGGGGTTTGAGTGTGTCAGTGAAATTTGTTTTTATTTCAGACAATCCCCATAATATTAAAACAGTCCTTTTTTCAAGAACTTAACAAGATAATTATGAAATTTGTGTGGCAAGATAAAAAAAAATCAAGAAAATTTAAGCAATGCAAGATGCCAAACAGAGAGCGGGTTTCGGTCTTCCAGATTGGGTTTTATATTATAGATCCTGTGTATTAGACTGGATAACTTTGGAAAACGATAGATTACTCAATTAGATTACTCAGAAGGACATGATTTGCAGTTCAGTTGGCATGCTTTTCTATGGTATAAAAAAGATAAAGAGCAAAAAAAATTCACATATGATAAGAGCTTTATTAGGAACTTCGGGAAAAAAAAAACAAATTTACCAAAAAAACACCAGTATGGGTATCGCCTATAGAGGCCTTTACACACCTAATCTTATGATGGAAGTGAAGTTTCTAAAATATCGAGATTTATTGAAAAAGGACTGTGAATTAAGGTCCAAAGAAGAGTTAGAGACCCAAAAGATGTATCTAGATTGGTGGTCCAGTGCATAGCTGGAATCCAGATACAGAAAATACAAAATAGAGGGTTTCTACTCAGAACAACATTTGATAAATTTCTATTAGGCTCAAAAGACAAAATAATTAAGAAAATGTATAATTATTTGTTAGAAATTAAAATGCAAGACGAGATGGTTAATGTAAAGTGGCCACAAAATATAGGCCATAATATTGATATTGATCTATGGTCGTAAATATGGCAAAATAATATAAATCTTACAAAATCAATTAATTTTAAGGAGAACATATATAAGATGTTTTATAGGTGGTATATGACTCTGGAAAAATTGTCGACGATTAGATGTGCCAAATGTCTGCTGGAAATGTGAAGCATGCGAGGGACGCTTATATGTGGTGGACTTGTAGAGCAGCGAAACAATATTGGATAGGAGTGCATACTATGTTACAACAAATACTGCTTTGTAAGGTTCCATTAACTCCAGAACTGTTTTTATTGAATATGATACCAGATAATATAGATAAAGCAAAGAAGTTTTATATATATTGTCACTGCAGCCAGAATTCTTTACGCCAAAATTTGGAAAAGTCTGGAGATACTGAAACAAGAGGAACTTACTGAGAAGATTTGGGAAGCGGCAGAAATGGAGATTCTATCAGAAGTGATGAAAGACTGTCCTATACAAAAGGCAACTAAAAGATGGGATTTATTTTACAAATGGTTAGAGTCACCAGATAGTGCTTGAATAACATAGATCAAATTGTGAATTAAAATCTGGAAGGCAGAAAATAGTAGAAAAGTGGAGTTTGAATTTGGATATTGCAGTATGAATAGACTAGATGCCAGTATATTTTTTGTTTCTCCTTTCCCCTTTTTTCTCCTTACACCCCCTCCTCCCTTTACCGTCTGTATCCCATACCCTAACCAAAGTTTTAAATAATAATAATTAAAAAACATAAAAAAGTGTATGTCAGTAAAACCAAGAGCAATGCCATTAGGATTACCAGTAGAGATGGGCATGAACCTTGGTTCAGAGGTTCTTGTCAGTTTGTACCCGCAGCACCACAGGTGCAACACATTCCCTTCCCCACCTCCCTGACCAGATCCCCCCAGTCACCAGCCAGTGTGCTCTCCTCTCCAGGTGTTCAACCAGTCCCTGGCAGGAGCAGGGGCTTTCTTGCCCAACCTCCATGGCTGATTGCCACTCAGACAAGGAGACAGGACAGGCAAAACTATGCTCCTGCTAGGGACTGGTCGAACAGAGGAGGAGGAAAGGAGCAAAGGAGCGTGCTCTGACTGCTGAGTGAGGGATCCAAACGGGGAAGTGTTTACTACCATCTGCTGATGTCGTGGGAGAAAAGCAAAGGTCCAGCTCAAACTCATCTTCTGCACTGTATTCAGTTTCTTGGATAAGTTTCTAATCCTCTGTGACTACACAGACGGGAGGGCATGCTCAGGCAGGGATCTCAAGAGGACTAAGAGCGCTTCACATTTTACAGCAGATCCTGAAAATACTGACATTCTCTTCTTAGTGTGTCCGGAAAATCATGTTCACCAGGAACAATCAAATCCTCACCCAAATTATGGAGTACCAGTAGAAACAAATGGGATCCACTTACTTCTCCAAGATGTTTTTCACATCCTAGAAGAGAAAAAAAAAACACATTTAAAAAAAAACACAATATAGAAACATAAAAACCTGCCTCCTATTGAGTCAAACCAATATTCCTTCTAGTCTAATAATGACTGCAGCTGGCAGTGGCTCTCCAGAGTTATTTTTGAGTCCTACCTGAAAATCTCTGGTCTTCCCTGATAGTCCTTCCCTCCAACTACTCACCAGGCCTGAATGGGGAGGCACTTCAGCTCAATCCATCTTGGCTGGTATATTAAAGCAGACTCCACTCAAGTGCTCAGAGTACTGAGGGCCAAGGAGGCCAAAGCCTCCATCTCACCCTGCCCACAAGGGACAGGAGCTGTGGCCTGTTTAAAAGGAGAAGAATCTGATAGGTGGAAGTGCTAGGCTGGGGAGCCTTTTACGTCTACTTATTATTTTTTTTAGAGGGACCAAGTGTGGTGTAGTGGATAAGGTGATGGACTAGGATTCTGGGCACCAGGGTTCAAATCCCCATTAGGCCATGGAAAAGTCACTAGGGGAGTGGAACAGGTGAAAATACTCCTTAAATATCTCAGTTATTTTGAAAGCTATAAGTTGGTTCCAACTTGATGAAACTATTGTTCTCTATATCGCTCATTTTTTATGTGCATCATCGGTCTGATATAATTCCCAGAAGGGAACAGAGCGCTTCAAACTAAGAGGAATACGATCAAATGTCATGGCTCCAACCCTGTGGTGGTATGCTAAAGGGGTCTTGCCGGGTGAGCCCATTCAGTTCAGCGTCCTGCACCCAGCCCTGGTCAACCAGATACTCCCAGAAAGCTCACAGACAAGGCAGGGAAAGGGACACAAACCGTTAGCAGGCAGATGAAAATGGCAAATGCTTTCCGTCTTTGTTACACAGAACCCTCTAGTCTCAACTAATGTAAATGCTCTGTCCTACACATAACATAAGAACACATAAGAAAGCTTGTTCTCAATATACCTAAGTGACTGCCTTTGCAAAGTAAAAGAAGTGCACAAACGTTTTGGACCCAATCCTTCCCTAGACAGCAGCCCCAATTGTTCCCTGCCAGTCTTGCCTGTAGGAGTTCCTCTGGGGGCTGCTGCTGTTTCTCCTCCATCTCCTGGATGAGACCTCCAAGAGAGGAGAGCTCCTCGGAGAACCTGGCCAGCAGCTCATCTCTTTTCCTTGCAATCTCCTTCTCTACTAGTTCCAACTGGGCCAGCCGAATCTTTTCCTGTTCTTCTAAAAAGTGACACATTTGTCTGAATTCTTCCACTGCTTGTTGTGTCTTTTCTTTTGTACACTTCTGCAGATAAACAGGTAGAAAGGGAAGAAAAGGAGGTTTATGGCAGGAACATGATAAATCTTTTCAGGATTCAAAGGCTTTTAAGAACTTCTATAGTGTTTGTTGGCCATCTCTTGAGAAGAGAAGACTCCCTGGAAAAGACCCTCATGCTGGGAAAGTGTGAAGGCAAGAGGAGAAGGGGATGACAGAGGACAAGATGGTTGGACAGTGTCATCAAAGGTACCAACATGAATTTGACCCAACTCCGAGAGGCAGTGGAAGACAGGAGGGCCTGGTGTGCTCTGGTTCATGGGGGTTACGAAGAGTCGGATACGACTTGACTAAACAACAACATAGTACTTGTTGAGTTTCAAATACTATACAAAATGAGCATCAATATGTGCAAGGACAGACTCTCAGAGTCTAAAATGTCAGTTTATAAAACTGCAAAACATCAGGCTGTTCCAAATTGTAGATATTCTTTAAATGGCTGACATGTGGTTCTTAACTCTTCAGCATTCAATATGTTTTCTTTTTACTGGTTAAATAACTTGTTCCCTTCCCAGCGATACTATGTTTACACTTACAAGTATGTTTTGGCATTCTGCCTCTGTTTTTGATTTACATGCCAGCTTTCTTTCTTTCTTCTTCTTTAAAAGCTCCAGTTGACTGCCGATCAGGTCCTGAAGACCAAACAGAAGTTCAAGTTGCTTCAAAGAGAGCATCATAAAGCAGTCTTGGAAGTTCCAGTAACAGAAGAAAAAATCAAAAGGACAGAAGGAAAGTAAGAGAGTAAAATAGCCAGGCTGTGATTGTTTCCTTGGAAGATTATACCAGAAATTAGAAGAAATAATAATGTGCCACCTGATGAATCTTTCCAACATGGTACAGTGGTGCCTCGCATAGCGACGATAATCGGTGCAGCAAAAATCGCTGCAAAGAGATTTTGTCGCTATGCGATATTAAAAAGCCCATAGGAATGCATTGAAACCCCTTCAATGCATTCCTGTGGGCTTAAAACTCACCTTAAAGTGAAAATCCTCCACACGGCGGCCATTTTCGCTGCCCAGTAAGCGAGGAATCCATCCCAGAAAACAGCGGGCAGCCATTTTTTTTACCTGGTGGCCATTTTGGAACTGCCAATCAGCTGTTAGAAAATAATCACTTTGCGATGATCGGTAGGCGAAACAGGGTACCGATTATCGCAAAGTGTTTTTTTCCCATTTAAAATATCGCAATGCGATCGCAAAAATTTCGTCGCTATGCAATTTCATCGTTAAACAGGGCGCCCGTTAAGCGAGGCACCACTGTATTAGGAGATATTCCAGCTAGTTGACACGAAGACGGAATAATAGCAATAGTCATATCATAAAACTGGAGTACTATTTCCTGAGTGCACTCCTTAACCAGGACATTAAACTATTCAGCTTCATCAAAGCCAAAAGAACAAATTTATTCACAACAAAATACATTAAAAGAGAGCAAGCATGGGTTGCAAGATTGGTACTTTTTTGAGAGTCACCATGCACAGAGCTTAAGGAGTAGAGTAACTACCTGTTTCATAATCCCTTGTAGTTCCCATGGATCTCAGCAAGTGCCACCCACTCTCCCTATGCAATGGCTGCAAAGATGAACATGGTGGGCTCCAGGTGTGTGTGTGCTGAAACTTGTCTGAGGATTTGAATTTTCTGGTTACAGCTGCCATAATTCTAGATGGGGGTACCTGGTGAATTGTGGGAGTTGTAGTAAAAAATAAATCCCCCAAACCCCATGCCTAGTTATCCCTACAAGGAAACAGAAAATATCAACAGAAGAGGAAAAACAAGCAATCACTTTTGTAAAATGCATGAAATTAAAGGGAATTTAAACCTAGATCATCAAGGTTGATGACAGATCATCAAGAAACATACTATCTAATCTGGATAAAATTAAAAGGTGGCTACGATACGCTGAGGAATTATATGGAAAAGGTGCAAGTATGACATACTCCTTTGAAGAAAAACCTTATGATTAAGAACCTGAAGTTTCAGAAAGCGAACTGAAAGCTGCTCAGAAAGAAGAAATAAATCACCAGGACTAGATGTGAGAATGAATGAGCTCTTTCAAGCTACAGAGACCAAATCTTTCAAAATCCTAACAAAAATGTGCCAGCAAATATGGGAAACAAAACAGTGGCTCACAGACTGGAAACATTCCAGTCCTCAAGAAAGGAGACACCTAGGAGTGCAGTAACTATAATATTGCATTGACTTTCTATTCAAGCAAAGTGATGTTCAAGGTGTTGCAACAAAGACTTTTAACTTGTATGGAGTGAGAAATGCTGGATTCCAAACAAGAAGAGACACTAGTGATCATATTAGAATATTCACTGGCTACTGTAGCTGACAAATAATTTAATAAAATCATTACAATTACAGTAAGGCTTTGCCTGTGGTGGTCATGAGAAGCTACGGATTGTTTTAAAATAAATGCCTATGCTTCAATACTTGATTTTCCCATACTCTGGATAAATGTTGGAACAAAATGCGAAGATAGAATGGCTTACGCAAGTGTCAATGAACAGAAAAAGAACTCCAATATCCTATTTAGAAAATTCTGGGCAGATGTATTATGAGTTACGTAAGTAAATGCATATGCAAAAAGGTCTCTTTCAGACAAATTGAGAACACAGGAATACAAATGTTTCTAGGTAAGGAAATACCTGTAATTACCATCATGTCTAACAATAATAATCATGTGTTGTCAAGTCAATTCTGACTTATAGTTGGTTACCCTTTTTAGAGTTTTCTGGGTAGAGAATACTCAAAAGTGGTTTATTCTTCCCTTTTTCTGGGGGCATCCTGGGACTGCACAAATTGCCCAAGATCATACAGGTTGGTTCTACTCACAGGAAGCCCAGTGGGAATTGAACTCCCAACCTCTGGCTCAGCTGCCAGACCTATCCACTGAGCTATTCAGCCAGCTGGAACATCATGTCTAATTTAGGTTTAAAAAAATCTTATGAGTTCTATAGAAGGGTCACAGGAGAATTCAAAGCTATTTCTACTCTCCATGGAGATGCAGGGTGATTTCATACCTTGTAGTCCTGGGCAGCCTCCTCCAGAGGAACCACGTCATGATTCCTGTGCTCTTTGGATCTGTCACATACCACACAAATGAGGGCTTGGTCCTCCTTGCAGAAGAGCTTCAGGGGCTCCTGGTGCTTCTCACAGACTCTCCTCCTTTCTCCTACTTTTGCCTTCTGCAGACTAAGTTTCTTAGTTATTTCCACAAAGTTTGCCAACTTCCGATTTGGCCTGAGGTTTCCTTGTTGAATTTTTTCTCTGCACTGAGGGCAGGAGGCCTCTTTGTCAACTTCTTCCCAGCACTGGGTCAGGCAGGCTTGGCAGAAGTTGTGTCCACACTCTGTGATCACTGGAGACTTGAAATACTCCAGGCAGATGGAACAAGTGGCTTCTTCATAAAGATCCTGGACAGGATCCGTCGCTGCAGCAGCAGCGGCAATGAACACTTCATCAGCAGGAAGGCTGAGGTTTCCTTTCTCTGCTTCCATTGACTTTTCAGCTACTTTGAATAAGTGACTCAGAATTTTAAAAAATATATCAGCAGGAAATGATGATGAGCTGACCTGGAGGAAGTCTCTAGAGAAACACCATTGCAATATGTTCAGGGGAAAAGTCACAATGTATACAATTTTAAAAACTGATTTAAAAAAATTACAAAAATACATAAATATCAGTTTGAGGGGAGGGGAACTGTCCTACAGCCCATCCCATTCAATGAGGTCCCCCAGTTCTCCACATAGTATTTTGAGACTGTTGTGGAGGAGTGTGTGAGGAGACCTATTTTGTTCCATTCCTCTATTCAGTTTGAATACACATAAAAAATGTTCAATATTTAAAAAATCAAATTCAATTTAACAATAATCATTTTTGTTTTGCTTTTCAGATGAGGTCTTGGGGTTGAATTTTTGTTTTGGAATACATATCTAACCCACAGGTGGAAATCCTGTTGCTTATCACAGAAAGTTGTGCTAGAGTAAGCCCATTGAATTAGTGGGGAGCTGGTGACTCAAATCCTCTGTAAATTCCATTGATGCAAATGGTCCTAATCCCGAGCAATTTATTCCATTAACGGGATTTCAGTCACACAATCATTCATTCTGTCAAAAGGGCTCCTGAAAATCAGTCATGTTAAGTTATGGGTGTTTATTTACACAAACATTTACACCTTTACCAGATTCTGGAAACATGGTTGTGTGTGAAGTTTACAGCTAGCTTCTGAGAACTGTAGTCCAAAACTTAAAATTGTTATGCCTTGTTGCTTTGACTGTGGTTTTGTTGTGCATTTTGTTTACCACTTTTAGTGTGCCATTTGTTTGATTCTTTTTGTGCCTTGTTGCTTTGACTGTGGCTTTGTTGTGCATTTTGTTTACCAATTTTAGTGTGGCATTTGTTTGATTCTTTTTAAATAGGTGTCAACTTTTAAGGAGAAAAGCAGGGTAGAAATATTTTAAATAAATAAGTGTAGTTGTAGAAGGTGTAGCCATATTAGTTTGTGCAAGCATTACAGGTGAAAACCAAATAAAAATGAGAAGCAAAAAAAAAAAAAAGGAAAAAAACATGGTGGCACCTGAAAGACCACCGTTTACATTTCTTAATGTCAGCATTCATGGACTGGTCCACTTCATCAGCTCTTATGTCACACTAAAAATATAAAAGCTAGTCTTTCAGGTGCTACCACGTTTTCATCTCTCTTTTTTTTACTTCTTATTTGGTTTTCACCTTAAATAAATAAATAAAAATTCCATAGCTTTCCTACAGCAAGCTTCTATCTAAAATTTTATCCTTTCCTTAACAGAGAAGAGTGGGGTGGGTGAGGGAAGTCCAGGGAATCTCACCTGAACAGGTGTCGTTCTTCACCTCCCTCCTTTCCTTCTCTCCGCCCCTCTTCCGAGCAGGCTGTTTCTTAGCCTGTCCTGGGTTTCCTCCCGAGTTTACAACTTTCCTGAACGCTCAGCTTTCCTCTCACCTCCGCATCCAAATGGGATGTGACGCTGCTGCAGAGAAACAAAAGTCGACCTGCGCAGGACCAGAAAAGGAAGAGCCGCGGATTTTCTGACCGTTGAGGCGCGCACGTGCTCAACGGCTGAAGCCGAGCTTCTTTGCGCGCTTTCGTATCGCCTGCACCCCATTGGCTGCTTGCCTCTCGCGCCCGCCTCCCATTGGCTAATTAAGCCTCCGTTTGCTGCCCTATTCTCGCCCCGTGGGCGCGGGCCAGTATTTAGAGGCAAAGGTGCCGAAAATGAAAGTTGGTGGTCGGGATGGGTGGTTCCAACCAGTGTGTTTGCTCCTACTCTGTGTCTGGCCCTGCGGACAGAAGTATTAGAAGTGTAAATATGCACGTCGTTCTAAGTGTGCTTTTGGTTCGAATCCGCCCTGGTTAAGAACAGTCCAGTTATACCAAAAATGCATACCAAATTCTGCTTCAGCATTAATTTCTGAGATGGACTCTGGTGTTGGCAGCTTCATTTTTTCACTAGAAAACAGAGACTCTTCTCGCTCCCTGCTTGGTGGAGTACTGAAGATCTGAGCCATCCCTGCAAAATATTTAGTATTTTGCTAATGCTCACTGTATATACTGTACTTTTATATGCAGTTCAGAAAATGTAGCACAACACAGTCCAGTTTAGATGTGTTCCCAAAAGAAAGATAGGGAAAAAAATCCAAACCAAAATACTATAGAGCTTTAAAAAAAACTAGCAGTTTTATTTACGTTTTGGTGGGCTAACATCCACTTCCTCTGATCCATTTCTTTCCTTTGTATTTATTTATTTGGTTTATTGCCCATCTGGCTACCAAGGACAGCCTGGGTAGTTTACAACAAAATAAAAACAGTAACTGACAACATTAAATTATAATAAAACCAGAATAATATAAAAAAGATTCAAGCATGTACTAATAAATCTTATAACTTAGATTATAAGGAAAGCTGCCGCCTCTCTGGATAAGTATTAGTTGGTATTATGTCAACCTTCTCCTAAGCAGGCTTGCAGTCCATGGGTTGTGTGAACCTGCGTGAGATCACTCTGGCCTCTCTCCCATGTTTGAAAAGGAGTATGATTTTGAAAAGGAGTATTGCTTTTGAATTGTGGTGCTGGAGGGGACTCTACTATCAGAACACAATTCCCCGAAAGTTTCAGCTGGTAGCTCTTGCTTATGAAAGATTTCAGGGGCCAGCTGGGAGGGGTTGAAGAGAAAAGCCCATGCTTCACACAAACAAAAACCAAACTTTCTCCTCCACTTCTGAAGTTGCCCCCCCCCGGCCTGGTGATCCAAAGAGAAGCATGACAGCTCCCTGAGACTCCAGCCATGGCCCCTCGATAGGGGAGGCTCCACAAGAGGGTTGTTATGAGGGGCTCTTGCCAGATGGGACTTGTTATAAGCTTTGAGGGTTTTTCTCTGGTGACATACAGATTACTGTTATGCCAAACAGTACCTCCTGGCTGAAAAGGCACCCTGAAGCTTTTTGAGGGGAAAAGGTGCAGCTGCTTATCCAGCAGCTGGATGTCCTGTTACTGTTTTCTCCTCAGATTGCCTTCTTGTTGATCATTCCTGCCTGTTGTTGAGGAACATTTCCTCTCTATGGAAAGCTACGGAGAGGAACAGGGTTCAGCCTTCTTGAGAACAGGTGATCACCGTGGTCAAACTTACTCTAAGGCAGAGCAAGGCAGCGGGCTCAAACAGCAGAATTTGCCCAACAAATTATAAAAAATTTACTTTCAGCCTCGATTCTGGGATCTTTTTTAGTTGAAGGTCAGGGGAGAAAAATCCTTAAAATAATGGGCAACATTGTACTGTATTAGCCAGACCGAAGACAGATTTTGGGAGAAATCCTCTTTTAAAAACCAGTTCCTTTATGTCTACAAGCCTTTGCCCACTCATTGGACAGTAAATGACTTTTGAGACCAGAATGTGTTACTCAAAAGATCACAGATGGATGTATGGTCCTCTCTGTTCCTCCACTCCCTTGCATCTTTTTCATAGGCTGATGATTCAGTACTGAGTCTCTCTCACTGGAACAGAAACAGGGAAAGTGAAACTAGTTACGGTAACTTCCTGGGGAAGCTTGCATCATGAGCATTTAGCTGGAAAAGGTGGTTCTGTCACAAAGCCTGCAGTACTCCAAGGCAGAATCTGAATGAGAGCAAAAGAGTTCTGGAAGTATACTGGAATCCAAATTGACATGAGAAGATCCAGAAACGGTAAGCCTGAATGGTTATTGGATATATGGAGATACTGAGATTAAAAGAAACCCAAAAAGTGGAGAAAGGAGGGGGAAGTGGAGAGGCGCATGAGTACCGGTTGAGACTAAAAGCGAAGCAGCTGGCCTTTGTTCCCTTAATTACAAAAGGGGGAGGGAGATGATTTCTCAAAATAAATCTATAGAGAAATAGTATGCCAGTGCTGTAGTCTCTACAGCACTGGCCAGGAAAGATTTCAAAGTGGGGCAATTCTTTTATCTTGTTTACCTTCTCCCCACCTCCACCTCCATCTTCCCTTGTATGATAATGCCGGACTAAGCCGGGGAAGAAAGGGGAGAGGATTCAAGGTTAGATAGAACAGACAGACATCTCTGTGAATTGTTGGTGGAAAAGAGAGAAAGATTACTGATAGCCGAGAACTTGTGAACGATTTTACCCGGACCGTGGGAAGCGGAAGAACATCTAAAGCAATAACCTTGGAGGCTGGTGGAAAATTACCAGAGGGAAGGAGGAGGGAAGAAGCCACTGGACGGAAAGATATGTAAACACTGGACATAGAAAAAGACAAACAGTGACATCTACTGGACTTTTTAAAGGGAATGCAGAAGAAAGAAGAAAGCAGATGAAGAAGAGGGAAAGAAAGTCGGCTATGAATTTGCTTTCTGTCCTTTTCTTGGTGGGATATTGGGATGAGAGTAACCCCAGGGATACTCTCCAGGGTGTACCATCCAACTCCCATGTCAAGACAGCAGAAGAAGAGGCAAAGATCATTGAAAGTGGGTTAAAACAACTGGAAATCAGTACAGAAGCACTGGGGGGAGCACTAATTTGGCAGGAAAGGGGGAGGATAGCAAAGACGGGGAGAAGGAGGGGGTGGACAGTCTGAAAGAGGAAGAGAGAGAGGTGTGTTGGGCTGACGAGGAGATTACAGAGAAAAGAGAAGACTTAGTAAATTTGAGACACGAAGATCCCTGGACAGGGAGAATAGGTAGAGTTTTGAGTACCCAGAGAATATGCAGAGAAAGAATGGAAAAGACGAAGCTATAGAAAACCACCATATTGGGGCCAGACAGAGGAAAGGAAAAGGAAGAAAGAATATAAAGCTTGGGTAAGGAGGGAAGAACAAATCAAAGAACAGAGGAGATGTATGGCGCCAACTGGGAGATCCCGTGAGCTCAGTCCTTTCAGACCCCCACTGAGACAGAACAGGGGGAAGAAAGTCTAGGCACAGCAGGTAGGCTGGGTGTACCATCCACAACTGTAGCCCTGACAGACAATATATACCAGACACCTCAAGCACTGGACACCTAGAGTTAAGAGTTCAACTCCTCTTTTGTTGCAAGGAGAGTTACTTGGTTTGATGGAACGTAAGAAGTATAATTTGTATGATTAAGAGCTGGATGCTGCACAATCAACCAACTACTGTACGTTGGAAGAGGCAGTCACGTTGTTGGAAGCCTACACCTGAGCAGAGGAGAGAGAGAATCATTTCGTAAACCAGATGAGGGACAAAGCAAAATATCAAGAAAAGGTGGTGTTGCCAGCACAAGTCATGGTTAGGCCGAAGACAAGGACCTCGATGACTGGGGGGACTCCAAGATCAGCACTAATTACGCCAACGAGCTCAAGATTCATCAGACCCTACATCATTGTTGGGCTAAACTCAGAATTGCAATGCCCAGGATCCTCACCGATCACAAGAAAGGAAGGAAAGAAAATTTGCTATGGCTGTGGGCAAGAGGGACACATCAAGAGGGAATGCCCAGTAGAGGACTTTGCGTGGGCCTCAGCCCTCATAGCTGCAAGCAAGGTGGATGGTAAGGAACACCCTGGCTGGGAGGTGATGGCGCAGATATAAGGGCAGACAGTAAAAGCCCTTGTAGATACGGGGTGTAGTCAAACATTGATTAGAGACTATCCAGGCCTGAGGCGTGAAGGGCAAATGATGATACGGTGAATCCAGAGAGATGTAAAACCATGCCCATGGATAGAAACATAAGTGACTGTAAAAGGACAAAAACAAAGGCTATGAATAGGAGTGGTACCAAATTTAGTCCATGAAATGTTGTTAGGAAGGAGTAGTGACACCCCAGGAAGAAAAAGTTGATAAGGTGTTGTGATGATTGCTCCACGTCACTACTGTCACTCATAGTCTGTATCTAATTTGCATAAGCCTGTGGGAGAATTGGAAGGGCGGAGTCAACGAATATATAAAGGTTTGGCAGATAGATAAGATCAGAGATAAAGATAAGATATAGATAAGATCAGAGACAAAGATGAGATAAGATCAGAGAGATAGAGTCTGGAATGAGAGATAGATAAGAATTGAGAGTCAGAGAGTTAGAGAAGAGAAAGAAGGAACAGATAATAATAGGGATAAGCTGGTTAAAATAAATAGAGTAGGGGTGATTGGTTGTGTACAATGGCAAGATATATATGTTAATGATTGGTTGTGTACAATGAATATCTGAAGAACATCGGTGATTATGATTAAATGTAACACACTTCAATAAATACTGTAAGTTCTTTTGGCAGTTATCAGACAAGTGTTTGTCTAAAATCTTTTATATTGTGGATAAAGGAAATCCATTGGTGGCAGTGAGGGAAAAGAGAAGACTTAACCTTTTGTGGGGGAACAATATAAGTGCATCACAAGGGTGAAAGTCACAATTGGTGGTCAGCTGGTAAGAGGACATAGTGTGAACTCTTTGGTGAAGCAAGCAAGGGCCACGTGGTAAATGCCACAGGTGTCTCTCTGGTCACGTCCTCACACCAAAAAGGAGCTGCAGAGGTTCTTTGGATTGGCAGGGTATTACAAGCAATTCATCACTGGATTTTCAGAAATCGCAGCACCATTAACTGACTTGACCAGATAGAAATGTAGCAACCAAGTACGTTGGGGTGATTGCGAGGAAAGAGCCTTTTCTAACTTAAAGGATAAGTTATGTTCATACCCTGTACGTTACGCACCTGATTTTGAATTGCCCTTCCTCCTGCAGGCGGATGCGTCAGACAGAGGGCTAGGAGCAATGTTGGCCCAAGAAATTGATGGAGAGGAACATCCAATATTGTACCTAAGCAGGAAACTTACTCCCAGTATAAAGAGACGAAGCAGCAGACGACAAAAAACTTCCTGGGAAGATATGGCCGCCACTCGGGTCAGTTCCTTGCAGAACCTCAGCGAGGAAGCCCTTTGCTCCATCTGCCTGGAGTATTTCAAGGATCCCGTGATCATTATAGAGTGTGGCCACAATTTCTGCCGAGCCTGCCTGACCCAGTGCTGGGAGGAGACGGAGGGCAGAAAGGTTTCCTGCCCTCAATGCAGAGAAAAAGTCCAAAGGAATTTCATCCCCAATCGGCTGCTGGCAAACTTGGCGGAGAAACTCAGTCACCTGGAAACTCAGAGAGAAGGTGTCTGTGAAGAACATCAGGAGCCCTTGAAACTCTTCTGCAAGGATGACAAGACCCTCATCTGCCTTGTTTGTGACAGATCCAAAGAGCACCGAGACCATGAGGTGGTTCCTGTCAAGGAAGCTGCCCAGGAGTACCAGGTAGGAAATCCCTGTGGGTTTATGTGGTGAGAGAATATAGAGTTTGATATTATTTTGTTTTATTATTTATTTAATATAGACCTATACTGTGCCATCTAGTGGCAAACCACTACTCTGGGCGGTTTCCAACAATGAAAATAAACATACACATTAAAAAAACACCTATTCCCCAGCCAGCCCACAAAATATAATATACAGTACAAATATGTAAAGAAGATAACACTCCTAAGAACCCAAGATGGTGGCAACAGACAGAATGCAAACTACACGATATAATAAGCAGAAATAACATGAAATCATAAAGAGATTATGAAGGGACAATTTTAGGGAGATCCGAGGAGCTTCGGAATATGGAGGGTGAGTGTGCGCATGTATGTGAAGAGATTAAAATATTTAATGTGCTTGCGATCAAGTTCCTAAGACAACCAAACCTTTCCTTGGAACAAAGCCAGTGGTGGGATTCAGCCGGTTTGCACCGGTTCTACAGAACCGATAACTAATATGCTATCAGTCCTGGAGAACCGTTTGCTAGCCTGCTGAATCCCACCACTGGCCCCGCCCCCTCCCTCTGTGTCGCAGCTCCAGCCCTTGCAATGGGGAATCACTTCCAGCCAGAGCTGGAAGTCCCTCTGGCCGCCTTCCCGATGACTGCTTCCCCCCCCGCTGGAAGAGCTGGGGAGGGAAAAGCAGAAACACCCCCTCCCCGCCTCATTCGCCTTCGTCCACCCTCTCGCACCCCTCGCCTCGCCTTGCCTTGCCTAGCCTCCCATCCACCCAAATCTATGGGAGGCGCAGATGTGGCGCTGTGGTGGCGGGGGCCCCCGTTGGTCCCAGTAGGGGTGGCCCAGATAGACAGGTCAGTCGCCCCTTGCAGATCCCTCGTGCCTCTGAGATTCCCTCTGGCCTTGCTTCCTTAACTGCATGTCAGGCAAAGCAACTCTGCACAACAATCTCATGAGAACATTCCGTTGCTTTTAAACTCATCTTACACAGAACCTAACAGACTGCATCTTTGTATGACTACAAGTCCTAGTTTCCTCCTATTTCTTCACAAGGAGAATGAGAAAGGGGTTGCCCATGGAGAAGAAGATGCAGATACTGTATACTAGTTACAGTCTTAAAGGATAAGAAACAATGGGAAGAATCATTTGATTAGGCTTCTCAAGGTGCCAGGCAGGTTTCAGGTTATGCGCATAGGTTCTGGAAGAAAGAGGCACAACATGGCTGATTTCCTAATTGTGAGCATCCAAAACTGAGAGTTATTCAAATCACTCCTGAGACTTAAATAAAACACACAACTTACTAGTTAGTACCAAAGAGATTTTTGAATCTATTGGACTACAAATACCATAATTTTCCATTGTGGTTGTTCTACCTTACAAATTCATAGGTTCGGCTAGACCTACCTCTTCCCAAACTTCTTGCTCCAGATGAAAACTCCCAACTAGCACTAGGGAGGAACAGGAAGCGTGGGTGGCCTACCTAAACCAATCAAAGTCAAACTGGGTATAGTCTGATATATTCCAGTTTTGTTGTTGTTGTTTAGTCGTTAAGTCATGTCTGATTATTTGTGACCCCATGGACCAGAACACGCCAGGCCCTCCTGTCTTCCACTGCCTCCCGGAGATTGGTCAAATTCATGTTGGTCTCTTTGATGACACTGTCCAACCATCTCATCCTCTGTTGTCCCCTTATCCTCTTGCCTTCACAATTTCCTAACATCAGGGTCTTTTCCAGGGAGTCTTCTTGTGACAAACCCAGACCTACTGGGATATGCCACAGTTAACTAAGCTGCCACCAACCATTCCCTATAAGAAGTCACACAGACCAGGGATGGATTTTCAACAAATAAAAGAATAAGGTTTATTTAAAACAACACACAGGGAAAATAAAATGATCAGGTGAATAAGATATAGTAACGTGGCTTAGTCTCATTCATACATGCACACAGTTTGGTTCACACAGAACACTTAACTTGAAGCACAGACCCTGAACCTATCAGTTCTGGCTAACCATACAGACACCTGAACCTATCAGGTTGGTACTCTGACACACAGTAGTACCCTGTCTGACACACAGACCCCCACACCAGCTTCTTCTTCCCAGCTGCTGCTTCGTCTCC